GGAGGGGAGCCCCTCCCAGCCGCACTCAACGGAAGGAAAACCGAAAACATGCAGGATCAGAAATGAAGGATAGAACTTCCTAAAACAGCTGGTACCTCAACTTTCATCCTTTAAAAAGACCTTATGCTAAGAAATATCCCTCCCACACCAGAGGGAAAGTGTTCCTGTTAACCAATTGACATCAAAGCATGTCACGACCAAGATATAGGAAAAAAGAACCTTCCTGTTGCCTTGACAATAAATTCAGCCTCGTTTCCCATCTTCTACAATTTCCGTGTCTCCCACCCCCACCCAAACCATCCTCCACACCCCGCTCCTTGGATCTGTCCCACATGGTGTCTTACAATTGGGCCTTGAAAAGTTGAGCGTTACAGCCAAAAGCAGCAAGAAAATGCCATGGAACTGGCAGTGTGCACTGTGGAGGGAGCCAGAGCAGCTGCTTCAGAGCAGGGCGATGAAGCGGAGCCACGGGGAAAAGAAAGGCTATTAGGCCACCAGCCGCCAAGGGGGAAGAGCCACGGGAACCCAGATTAAAAGTCTGAAAAGCCTTGGAACTCAGAGAAAAGGATCAGTGGAAAGTGGCAGTAAAGCCAGGCCTGGCATATGGAACCACTTGAGGGGGCTGGTAGTCAACCCAATAAAATCCTACACAGAGCCTGATGTGAGAAAGGCCAGGAATGGTTGACACAGGGGTCCGAAAGCACCTGCCTAAGAACTGTGGCAACAGTGAAGCAAAGGGCCCGAGTCAGCAGGACAGACAGCAGAAGCAATCGTAGACGCCAGATTCTGTGAAAGGCAGTGTTCACATGCCAAGTCATTTTCTGTAGTATTCTCTGGATCCTTCCATGGATCATTATTTTAGAGGATGGGATGCCCCTATATGTTCTGGACCTTTCTATCTGTACTCACCCTCCCCATGCATACACACACATAAAAAACGCTAACGTAACTCACTAATCTTAGATATAACATTGAGTTATTCTTTACTATTTTCCACAGGCCACATTTAACTTTCTGCATAGGTTAATGGGAAGGCGCTTGCTTATCAAAGTTAGTAATCAGTTATTACTGGTTGGCTGGCTTTCCGCTTGATGTTGGTCGAGATACCTTTATTGAGCTTGGAGAGAGACTAGCTAATGTTCTCTAAAGCCTGGTGCTTTAAATTCACCCCATATTCTATTCCATTACCAAGTCTCTGCTGCTATAAATGGATGGAGTAGAAGAAACCTTCAGTTCCTAATTTGTAGGACAGCAAGTGTTCTATCTGCTCTTGCACTTCCCATGCTTTGCCTATGTGACCCTAAATTTCCAGTGTTACAAAATACAATAAACAGTGAGTGCTGGACTGAAGTGTGCCCAGAATTCCCACCATGCCTCTGTCATACCTAAGCATGTCAGCATTGCTACTGCAGAAAATCAGTAGTAATGGTAGAACCCAATACTGTGGTTGGTTGAAGATTGTGTTCCTACAGCAGATACCTGGCTGCCCTGTAGTTTAGTTGAACAGACCATAGACCAATGGGAGCAAGGGTGAATGCAAGGTGTGGTAATTCCTGCCTGACTGTATGGAGGTAGTTTCTCCTTGGGGAGCATGATCTGTGCTTTGAGTATATGGGAAAATAAGCTATTTTCATTTTTGTTTTTCTCTTTTCCCTTTGGTGGTGTATATTTTTATTGATTCTTACCAATTAGAAAAAAAACATAATTGGAGCTTCTGTTCCTCTTTACAGGTGCACTAAATGCCTGTGATAGGCATTTTGAAGGTGTTGATTCCTTTAATATTTAACCACCTGAATTGTCATGGCTGTCTGGTAAATGTCAGGGGGCTTCACAAGTTTCTTTTCCTATCCTTTTATTAATAGAATGTGAACTGCTTTTGGTGAATAGTGTCTCTTTGAGTTTAGTCTCCAGCTAGATATCCACCCTAATCAAAATTCTCTGACTTTCCCATAGTGGAGAGATAGACACCCAACACAAGCTAGACCTATGCCTATGTGTTCTCCAAGGCTTGCCTCTTGCAATGAATGAAATGCTTGTTTGTTAGATGTCACTGGTGCTTAGCCACCGGGCAGCAGTGCCCTACTAAAACTCTGAAGTCTTTCATATGCTCAGTGTCTCAGCTGTGCGTGGTCAGCTTTTTAAGAGCGGGTCTCTGGTCCTCTTTTTAACTGCCCTCCAGTACATTTCTCAAAGTGGAGCCAGAATCCAGACTTCATCTGTCTTGTTCCAACACACTGTACTGGTATCTTGTACAGCAAACTGTTACTAAAACTTTTGGTTCATGTAGCTTCATTGCCCAGAAAAGTCTGGTTAAAATCAAACTAATAAGTTAGTTTCAAAAAATACTAATTTGTATGTACCCTGTCAATTTCTGATTATATCTTAATGCCCAAGACATTGTCTTTTCTTTCTGATTTTGTCTCTTCATGCCCCTATTCTGACAGGTGAAGAAGACTGTAATGAAAAGAATTACTTAACCTCAAGACAAATATTTAGAAACAACACCACTTGTTTTCAGTAAAGCTAAAAGAAATTATATCATTCCATAATTCACCAGAGGACAAAAAATGTGAATTTAATTTCTCCAGCAATGCTTAAATGGAAACAAAGGGGGTGAATGCTAATGTTTAAAGGCGGCTTTGAATGGCTTATTAACGTTAACTGATTCTATGAGATTGTGAGTAAAGCATTTATTCCTTTCTCATGAAAACTGACACATATGTGAAGGCAAGAGTGATTTCACTAGACCCAAGATAAATGATAAATGGATGTTTATTGGGGAAAACTTACACAGAAAAATACAAAGAACCCAGAGAGTGCTTCTCTGCCCTTCCTACTGTGTAGGCTGACTCAAGAGAAAGAACTATGCATGCCTTACAGTTCCCTCTTTCTGCTTCCATCCACCTGAAATCACACCCAAAGGGGTGTGACCACTCTTACATGTCCACAGGCAAAACACTTACACATATGCTATTTTGTTTTCTTTTTACATTTTAAGAATTTATTGAAGAAAGTCACAAATACAAGTTTTTTAAGAAAGAATAATCTGTATCCATTGCACTCCAGATGTGCTGACCCCTGTGATTTCCCCAAATTCGGTAAACTCGACTGCATAATTTGTGGTAGTGGGGGACTGCATTCACACTTTGCCCTTGGGGAAAAAATAATAAGCTTAAAATTTCTCAAAACCTGCATAAATCACACAGAGTTCATATTCCATAATCCGTATTACTTCTGACATTGCCAGGAAACAGAAAACGCTAAAGTAAATCCAAAGACTCATCTGAACAGATAATTAATGAAAAAACAATGTTATTTAGATGCTATTTCTACACCTTGGTTTTTTGTATGTTGATTTGTTTTGGTTTTGGTTTTTTGAGATAGGGTTTTGCTGTGTAGCCCTGGCTGTCCTGGAACTCACTCTGTACATCAGGCTGACCTTGAACATGCAGAGATCGACCTACCTCTGCCTCCTGAGTGCTGGGATTAAAGTTGTGTGCCACCTCCACCTCTGCCCAGTGTAAGCCCTTTTATCTATATAAGATGTTTTCTGCAAAGGATCAAATAGTAAATGGTTTAGACTTTTAACTCCATATCTTCTGTCATCAGAACTTAAGACTGCCCTTGCAGATCAAAAATTAACATAGAAATATGTCAATAAGTGGCCAAGAGATGGCTCAGCAATTAAGAGTGCTTGCTTCAAAATCATGAGGACCCTAGTTCAGATCTTAGCACCTATATAAAAAGTCAGGTGTTCTATATACTCATACAACACCAATTCCAAGAGAGAGCCAAGACTGAAGAATTGCTGGGGCTCACTAACTGCAGACCTAGACAAATGTGAGGCTCAGCTTCCGGGAGAGATTCCTGTTCCAAAGAAAATAAGTGAAAAGTATTAAAGGAGGATGCCCTACTCACTGGGTAATTGCTCTCTAGAGAGAGACAGAGAGAGAGAGAGAGAGAGAGAGAGAGAGAGAGAGAGAGAGAGACATATAGATACTACAGAAGAGAGAAAAGAAAGAAAGAAAGAAAGAAAGAAAGAAAGAAAGAAAGAAAGAGTGAGTAAATCAGCTTGGCCTTGTTCTAATAAAGGTTTATTTACAATAACAGGTACAGGCTTTAATTGACTGTTTTGTATTGGATCTTCCTACATCACAACCTAGTTGTAACCATCTGCCTAACCAACATGTGAAACACTGTATTGTGTGTTTTTATTCTAAGATACAGTCCCATTCCCTCCTGGATGACAAGATACAGAAATAGTGTCCAGAGTAGAAAATAGAATAGGAGCCTAGTTCAGGGCAGCAGGTTTTGGGAGGAACACCTTGTCACTGAACTGGAAGGAAAGACTTCAGGCTAAACCAATGGTCCCTAGGCTCTTCTGGAACAGTGACTCCTAAGAAAATCTAATGATCTTCAATTTTCTCTCCAAAGAAGGTACAAGTAAACTTATACATTCTCAATTTTATACAAAAACTCTATGAGTTCATGAACTTCAAGCACATGTAAAGCACAAAACATGGCAAAGGAGTATGTGTTGGGTGGGGTTTTCGGGGGGGGGGGGGGGGGGTAGGGGAGGATGGGAGAGAGAAGGGAACTGAGATTATCATATAATACAATCCTGTTTCTAATTCAAATTTAAAAAGTTGAAAAAGGACTCAAGAATTATAAATTGGAAAATTTTGCTATTGCTGTTGTATAGTTTTTATTAGACCTCAGTAATTTGTTCTCATAAGAAAGGAAATTAGTCCAGATGAGTCTGTTTTAAATACTTCACCCTAGGACATAAAGAATAGGTGCTGCCAGTGGTTATGTTTTCCAAACAACAGATAGGTTTTAGAGCTTGGTAATTTTATACCCAAAGTTACTCTCAGTGATGGTGATTTTTCTTCCTGTTTGTGATTGTGACTAAAAATAATTCTCCAGGACTATATGCACACACCCCACATTGTATGTTTAGCAAGGATTTCCTTTGGCTTGTCTTAGAGTAAATTAATTACAGATAAGAATGACGAGGGTGCTATTACTAGAAGTTACACAGTTGGTAACAACAGGGATATTAGAGTCAGAAAGAGTTAAAAATCTCTGCTTTCTCCCTTGATGTCTAGTCAAATCTAAAAGAGAAAGTCATTTGGACTTCAATTTCATCGTCCAAGTGAGAATAATAGGTTATTACCTTGTGTTTAGTATTGTGACATCTTGGTTCCCATGTTAAGCACTGTTCGTGTCCTGTAATCTCCATGACCTTATAGAATTACTTCAGATAGAAGGTAAGGAAACAGAAACAAAACATTATATTACTGCCAATGACCATGCAAACTTTGCATGGTCTTTGAGTTACATCAACTTAGGAAAAAAATTCTCTTCTCTTAACGATTATAATTCAGCAACACTCTAGCTATATATTTTGTTATAAAAATTAAATAATGTGTGCAAAGATGAGCCCAGCATGGTGGCACATGCCTGTAATTCCAGCACACAGGAGGCTGAATCAAAAGAATTCAGAGTTGGTAGGTAACATAGATAACATAACAGACACTGATCCCAGTATGGTTTAAGTGCATGAAAATATGTATCTTAATGTAATACAAATTAATGTCAGCTATTGCAGTAAAGATATCTCAGTCTGGGTCCATCAATGTTTCTTCATGGATTGAGAATATCTTATAAGGCTCCATCCTGTCTTGAGTAGCTATAGGCAGTTAATGGTTGCTGGAGGAGGGGAAGTTATATTCTTCAGTATTGTAGCCTCTGGAAAGTTGTTCTTGCTCAAGCAAATAATCCCTACCCATGTTCATCCTAAAACAGTTTTCACCAAAACTAAACAAAACAAAAGGCCAACAACAACAAATGTGTAAGTGGAGGTTAGGGAGACTCATTGGGAAGAACAAGTGCAGTAGGACAGGAAGGGTACAGAGGATGATGGAAGGGATATCATCAAAGGCCAAGGGATGTGTGTGTGTGTGTGTGTGTGTGTGTGTGTGTGTGTGTGTGTGTGTGTATGTGATTGTGAACCAATAAATAAAATTTTTATAATGATAACCCTCAGTCTCTTTTCCAACAGCTGTGTTCAGCAGAATTGCCTATTCGGTTTGGTGAGTTTCAGGTCAACATTACAGCTACCTTTAGTTGTCTTGAATGTATACCTAGTCTGTGTTATTCAAAACTAAAATATTCAGTAATGTTTTTATTGTAAGAGCACATTCCAATGAAGCAATAGCAACAGTAGTAAGAAACACACAACTACGTTGGGAAAATACATGTTGTTATAGAATTATTCCTGCCAAAGAGACATTATGGCTGACCCATGATAACTGGAACACTCCTTATTTCTCTGCCCTACTCAATTTTTAATGTGACCAGAGGATCTTGTAACATAGCACTGAAACTCTAAGAATGAGGATTAATGACCAGTCATTGTGGCACATACCATTAATCTTAGCATTCACTCAGGAAGCAGAGGCAGGCCCATCTCTGTGAATTAGAGGCCAGCCTGACCTGCAGAGAAAGTTCTAGGATGGCAGCCAGGAATACACAGTGAAACCTGGTCTCAAAAGAGAAACACACACAGAGAGAGAGAGAGAGAGAGAGAGAAGCAAAAACAAACGGAAGGAAGGAAGGAAGGAAGGATGGAAGGAAGGAAGGAAGGAAGGAGCAAAGAGGTGTGCATATTTCCCTGATTATTAGTTGAGGAGGGTAGGGTTCTGTGAATTTTGTTTCTTTGATCTGTCATACAGTAACTCTTAATTTCAAATATTAGCTTCTGTTAGTTACTGTCTACTGCCTGATAAAAGAAAAATAAGCAAAAATAAAAATCTGTTGATAGTCTGTAAATGTAAAGAAAAGTGAACAGATGAATCTGCTTCAAAAATCCCACAAGGAAATAGTTTGGTGGCTCCAATCTGTAATTCCAGAACTCTGGAACTGAAGGAAAGAGAGTGATGCATTCAATGTCAACCTGAGCTACACAGTGAGCCTGTGTCTCAAGAAAACAAGAGTTCCACAAAATCCACCTTTATTATCACTTAGTCCACTAAAATAATGGCTTGATGGAAGTACTGACTGGGATTTGGCCATCATGCCTCAATGTTGCCTTTGTGGCAATGAAAACAACAGAAGAAAGAAAGGGAGATTCAGTGAGACACAGACCAGGGGCTAGAAGAGACAGGATTGACTGTAGAAGGCTCCGACCAAGAAAAGTTCTGCCAAGGAAAGTTTCTTGGCTAATATTTTCAAGCCATTTAGGATGGAAAAGGTGATGTAATTCTCAATCCTTTGGTTCTCAGTATCAGGCATTCATGTCCCCGTATCTATCCAAAGCCCTTTGGGTTACTCACTATGCTGCTGACTTGCACTTTGCAGTATGGCTCAGTTTGCCTCTGTGTGTTTAGCAGAATGGTTATTTGTAAATATCTGAATTTCTTCAAAACAAAAAGTTGGCAAACCATGGTACATAGACAAGATCAGGTCTGCCACATATTTTTTGTGTGACCTGAAAACTAAGACTGTGTCTAAAACAAAAATTAAAGAAATTGCTGAAAATAATCAAAACAAGAATGATACTTTCTGATATGTGAAATTATATGAAAAAGGCACTTCAGAATCCACCCTTAAAAGTTTTGTTAAAATCTGGGCACATGGCACTCACATGCTATCCAGTTATCCTCGTGTAACTGCAGCATAGTAGAGTGCCTATAGGGTGCAGTAGAGACTATAGGGCTTCAAGGTCAAAATCCTTTAAGCTTAGCACTTCATAGAAGAAATTTCCCAGTCTCTGATTTCCAGTTTAAATCCCATGATGATATGAATCAATCTCATGTAACACTTGTTTATCTCTAGCTCCTTGCACAATGGCTGAAATGAAGAAACTTAGTAAATTTGTAAAGAGAAGGTGTTATGGCCAAAAAGAGTAGAAGCTAGATTCCAGGCTTAGGCTGTAACCAAAATTAACTTTGAGGACAAGTCTTAAAAGATAGCATCTTTTGGTATTGGATGAAATCACAGCAGGACAAAAAGACCAGGAGATATTTTTGTTTGAGAGGATAATCAGGAGGAGAGGATAGCCAGAGTTGTAACTTTTCCTACAGAAACAGCAGAGACAATTGTACCAAGAGTGATGCCTATACTATGACTTATTTGTGTCTATGTCTCAGG